TCATCTTGCATTCTAAGTAAGGTTCTCCTCACTTCACATGGAGAAATTTTCTTCTTCCTAAGATGTATTTTCCATGTCTTAATTTACATACTCCTACAACAATGTTGACCGAAAAAATATTCAAAATTTTTGCAAGCTAAAAATAAATTAGTTTTTAATGGCAATTAAGGCTTTCCAAAGCACTGACTTAAAGCCAGAAAAATGATAGTCAGCAAACCATAAATGCATATGTTAATATGTGACTTTTATAAATCATCTCAATTTACTCACTGTCCTCCCATTAGATGAATGTGATTAATATTCCCACTGTGTAGATGGCAGAACTGAGGCAAAGGAAGTTTAACTTCGTCATTCATACAGCTAGTGAGTTAAAATCTAGGATTTGAATCCAGGCTTTCTGACCCACCACTGTCATCATTCCTGATTGAATTGGATTCTCGAATGCATAGTCTGCATTTTCCCACTCGCTTACATCATTTCACATAAATATATGCTTTCAACTCTTTGAGCCTTGGGTCTGATTCAAGTTCTAGTTTTCCAAAAAGGCATTTACCATTCCACACATGTTTTTCTGTTTTCCCAATTCCTAGTCCATTTCCTGTTATTTAACTGATGAATTTACAAGCATTGTTCTCCTCTTGGGTTATAGAGGACTATGTTTGCATTTCTTTCATAATTATGAAATTCCCTAGGAATATGTAGAACTGTTCGTGTAAATTTGAAGACACAAGTAAATATTCAATCATCTCTGTCAGGTCTGGGCCAGAGTGATCAGGTACATGTTGAACAACTTGGTTTTCACATATTCAAATACAGTTTAAATAATAAAAACTTATTCATAGTAAAACTATAGCAAAATCTTTTCATTCAAGAAAAGTAAAAGCAATTCTCTGTCCTCTTCCAGACGATTTTAGTGCAGAGTTATTCTAACACATTCATGTTACTCTAGAGTTTGGCGTATTGGTCAGAGCTTGGAACACTAGTGATTAAATATGGTTCTTCTACCTTGTTCATATTTTCCATCATAGTATTCATTAAAATGCTGCTGGCTTCTTAAACCTTTTTATTAAAATACAATTTGCCTTCACAACTATTTGTTAGTGTCTAGAAAATCTTCCCTAAGTGTTTGTTAAGTAAATTGAAGAAGAAAGAAAAGAGACTACTTAATTATACTCCTATGAAAGCTAAACCATGACCAGTTTATAAGGTCAAGATGTTGTTTCACTTTCGTTCCTCATTATTCTTATAGTGTATTAAGGACAGATATTTCTCTTTAATGGGAAATGCTCCTTTTGATCAAGATAACATAGAGATCCCTGTGATGAGATGGGTTTGTGTCTTGGCTATGGTGGTAGACAAACAAATCTACGTAGGTGACAGAATTGCAAAGGGCTCTATACAAACACAAATGAGCACATTCAAGCCAGGGAAGTCAAAACAACTACATATAAGTCACCAAGTTATATCTACGTAACTCTTCTAGTCATTTTGTGCAAGTAACTTTAGCTGGATGTTACTTCTGTAGGAAACCATATAAAGATTGCTAGGGAATTCTTTGTATTATTTCTTACTATTGCTTGTGTGTGTCTACAGTTTCTCTAAAGAATTAAAAATAGAATAACTAACTTCTTTACCAATGGTTTCATACTGCCTTGAAGTTTGTACAATTGCTTAGGGGATGATTAATCAATTCAATATTAATGCTTCAGAGTCTCCTTTAGATATACAACTTTAAAATTGCCTCCAAACTTAGAACAATAGAGGAGGAACAACAGAGAAAATGGTTGTTGGTTGAGCTTTAATTGAAATTACTGTCCACTTTGCATCTGTCTTGGTTGCATGAGACACCATGAGGAAAACTGGGTGAGATACCCAGATATCTCTTCACATTTGTTTATTTGGTAGTGCTTTATTGACACTACTGGAATCCCTTTGCCTTTTGTCAAATAACATAAAATATTTCTAAATCAGATATCAGATACCAGGAGAATGATTGATGTGGTATGGTATTGGTTCCTTTCTCTGGGTTATATCAATAATAATTATTATATCCAGAAAGTACCCTAATCATAGCAGTTGTTACTGAACCAGTGGCTTTTCATATTCTCCCAAACTGGGAGGTTTGTGGGGACAGAACCCAATCAAAGCCATTTGCTATTCGAATTCAAATGACTTTTCTTACTGTCCATTGTCACCATCAGCACAGACATGTTGCCATGGCTGCTTGCCTTTGGAATAGCCAGCACAGGATAAACTCCAGGACTGAGCCAGACTGACATGACCACTGCTCTGGTCTCTCAACAATGATAAAGCAAATGCTCTTGGAATGACAGTTCTACTGTGAGTCACCAAGTGCAGACAGGGTGATAGTGGAGTCCACATCAGAAAAATGTGCCCTCTGAAACAGGAATGGGTCACCCCAGAATAATGGTTCTTTTCCACAGAAAAAAAACCAAGCAAGACATCACCTTTCTCTGGTCTACTGAGTTTCCATCCACATGCAGAGACCCTTTCCTCTGACTTTTTGAGTTGGCTTGAAGAGGGACTGTACCCTGTGTACAACGTTTGCTGGAACTCCAGAAAGCTTCTCTTTCTTTTCCTGTGGAGGCCCATATATGGCTATGGCATCCAGCCTTAAAAAACTGTGGTTAAGGGCTTCCTGGAATGGTCAGAGGTCTGGTTACTCGTGAATGAAGCCTTCATCATCTCCTGGGGGCACTGTTCTTTTCTATATATAGGTTGTTTACCTTGGGCTACACGTATGCCTTTGGGAAGGAAAGCAACATACAGAGCATCGAGTTCTCCTGAATTGACCTCTAACACAGGAAACTTGGAAAGGAGAAACTTATTTTTATGATCCAACTTCACACACATAAATGTATATACACTTTCAATATATTTTGTTCTTTTGCTTGCTCCATTCCTTTTTCACTGTTTTTCCACGTTGATTAAACAGCAAATTCTACCAGCCTCTATTATTCTCCCCCTTCTATAGTGCTCACACATGTAATATGATACACGAAAATGATAACGTTTTAGATGAATTGGGTCAACTAGAATGTTACCCAAGTGGATTTTATGTCTTTTCTTTTCTGATACTGCTATGGGTATTCATTTCCCATTATCCTTGGCTTATGCTTTTCTTCCCCCTAGATTTCTTATTAAAAACATCCTCAATACTTTTAATCATACTTCCTTTCATATATCTTTTCATTCAGTGTCTCATCTCTCCTCTGTGATTGTGTGTGTGTGTGTGTGTGTGTGTGTGTGTGTATGAACACACTTTTAAGTCCTTTTGGAGCTGAACTTATTATCCTACAGTTGAAAACATGAAAAATGACAGAGCCATGTATAACATTCTGACATTTGTGTAACACCTGGAGAGAACTGTGTCTTCCAGAAGAACCAGTGTGCTTCATATGTGAATAATTGTGTAATTGACTTCTTTATATCTGCCAAAATAGACCTCTTCCTTGAGGTCCCATGGGAAGAAAAGTATGATTAAATCTTAACTAATAGACAAAAATGAGCACCATGACCTTGGAGATCACAGAGGGAGATGTCTAAGTTAGAAAGAGCCAAGGCCCAAGATCTCTATTCATCATCCAAAAAGGATCCTGCTATCCTTGGAAAGCTTTCTCATAGTAAAGCCACGTGCATTCTTCAGGAGCCATCTGCCATGTCTTTTGAGGCAGAGTCTCTTGTTGGGCTGGAACTTGACCTTCACAGAGGTGGGATTACAAGTTCATTCTATGATAAGAACTGAACTCAGACTTTCAGGTTTGCAGAACAAGACCTTTACTGATAGAGCATTCTCTCCAGTATCTTTTAACACATGTACACATTTTGTAACTATATAATATGGGTTGGATTAATCTTTGTATATCTCTCCAAGAATTTATCTTCCCTTTATCTCTATAATTCTACCTTTGTGTATGTGTGATCACATGTGTGTGAGGGTACATGCTCATGTACCTGTACAGAGGCCAGAGGTCCATGCTGGGTTTAATGCTGGGATTATAGGTACTTGCTACTGTGCCTTACTTTTTCTGTAGATACTAGGAATCTGAATGTGGGTCCTCATTGCTTGCATGATAAGCATTTTGCACACTGATCCATTATCTCCAGGCCTCCTTCATTTTTTTTACAATAAAAACTTTCAAAATCCCCATCCTATACATTGCTTACATGTGCAAAAGTCTAAGAATTTGTTGGACCATTCCTCCATAGGGACTGCTGACCAGCTTGTGACTAGGAGTGAGCAAATCCTGTTCCCCTCCTTCCAATTAGACCTGTATGCAAGTTCCTGTTTTCTGCCCATGCTTATTGTCTAAATTCAAGTTCCTGTTATCTGCCCATTCTTTGCTGGAGGGCCCTGGGAACATGAGCTTCTAACCTTGGTAGTTTTCCACCATGCCTGCTGACTGGTTTATAATGCTCTGCTCTTGCAAGAAAGAGCCACTGCCTTTTGTCTTCATTTAAATCCTCAGGCCCTCACCAGTATCATCAAGAAGTGTAGCGCCAGTACAGGCGCCACAAGAATTAATTTAATTATTGAAAATATATAAACTTCCAAAATTTTTCCAAGTTTTCAAAGCATATAACAAATTATTGTTATTTACAGTCACTCAACTATACAATAGAACTTCCTTCCCCTACTCAATAAAAAAAGTCAGTAAGGAGATAATTTACCTTTGTCTTATTAACTCTTTGAAAATCCATGTGCATTTAAACTTATAATACATTATAATCAAGATTAGTTATATTTCAAGTACTTGATGAACAGTTAGGAGGGAGGCTGCAGGATTCAATGGCATGGGTATAGACTTCTGCCCTTTCTGGGGCCAGTGGAACTTTCTTACAGGTTCTGTTGCCTAACGTTTGGAAATTTTTCCAGTGAAATATCCTACTCTGCAGAGACTGATCATTAGTCACACACTATTTATGAACTGAAAAGAAAAAAATTGTTCTAAGAACTTTAAGTTTCCTCTAAAAAAAACCTTCATGCTCTTGGGCACAAGAATGTAAAAGCAAAGGTCAGTGAAACAGTCCAACTTCTCTGTCTTCACCATTACAACTCAAGCTGCCGATTGCTTCTTATTCAGATGGAGAACCAACTCTTCACTCATGAGCCTACTTGAGGTATGCTTTTACTGTAATTCCTTCAAGGAAGTTGTAATGTTAGTAAAATGCAATTAGATAGTATCTGGTGTCAGATAGTCTAGAAATACCCACCTAACTGCCATCAAATAGATAATTTCTCTGTGTTTCAGTTTCCTTCACTCTAAGTGGAAACATGGAAATGCTTGGTGAGAAAGACCCAATGATGGGCCCTATGTAGTGCCTGGTATACATAATAGACACATACATACTGTGGAGGCTTGAATTGCAATGGTTCCCATGGACTCATAAACTTGAATGTGTGGTCTAGAGTTGGTGGAAAGGTTTGGGAAGGATTAAGAGGTGTGGCCTTATTGGAGAAAGTGTGTCACTGGGGTGGGCTTTGAGGTTTCAAAATCCTATGCCATTCCCAGTTAGTTCTCTCAGCTTCATGCTTGTAGATCAAATGTAAGCTCTCATCAGTTTCTCCAGCACCATGACTGTCTGCCTGCAGCCATACTTGCCACTGTGATTGCATACAACTATACATCTCTGGCTATCTGAGCCTAAATCAAATGCTTTCTTTTATAAGTTGCCCTGGTCATGGTGTTTTGTCACAGCAATAGAATAGTAGCTAAGACACCAATGAAAATGATAAAAGACAGGAGAGGTGATTTGTTTGTATTTTCCATTTATATGACATTTACTGTGAAAAAATTGAAAAGTATTAATCTTATAACCAAACTTCGTTTTAAAACCTATTTGCTTTGAAAGGTCTTTTAAAAGCTTCTTTGTATGAATAGGTAAAGAGTCTAAGCCAAGCCTCAGACTGCTTTTTTTCTATAGCCAGATGTGTCTTTAATTCCATTAGGAATGTTAACTTTTCTTAAGATGTCACATGCAGTAATGTCATGGGCACAATATAGGAAATGGCTTTTTATTAACTCTGGTATCCTTTTTGTCTTTAGAAATGTTCAGTATACTTTCCTGGAACTTTTTATTTTTAAATTAACTATAATTATGTAATCTCCCTCTTCCTTTTCTTCTTTCCAGCCCCTCATAGACCCACCCTCTCAAATTCATGGCCTCCTTTTTCCTTAATTTCTATTGTGACACACATGAGTGTACAAATACAATCTCAGTCCATTTACTGTTACTTGTATGTGTGTTATTTCAGGGATGACCACTTGGTATTGAATGATCAATTAGGGGAGTCATTCAGGGAAAGTCTATGTCTCCCTCTCTCAGCATTTCTTAGTTGCCTGCAGTTCTTTGTCTAGGGGTAGGGACCTTAGAAGAGTTTTCCCATATTACTATGTCTATTGATAGTATGTTTGTTCAGGTCTCCTTTAAGTAGCCGTGTTGATGAGACTTTATGGGTATAGCTTCCCTGAAATTTCTAACAAACATGATCTCACAGCAGCTTTCCTGTTCCTCTGCCTCTCACAATCTTTAGGTATAGGAGTTGTGTTGTAGATGTATCCTTTGGAGCTGACCACCCCACAATCAGTTGTTCTCTTCATTTTGACCAGCTGTTGTTTTCTGTAATGACCAGTGTCTTTCACAGGCAGAAGTCTCTTTAATGAAGGATGAGAGCTACACTGATCTGTAGGTGGAAGGATAAGTATTTAGAAGGTAGTTAGGAATTGCACTGACATAAAATGGAATAGGTTCTCCTCTAATATCCATGACATCACTAGCCCCGGGTAGTTGGCTGAGTTTCCAGTATCAGAGATGATTTACCTACTGTTGAACAGGCCTTAACACAACTAGAGAGCTGTTGGTTAACACCAAGATATATGTACCACTATTGCACCCTTGAGTATATCTTGTCCCTTGAAACTCTTTAATAGGAGAAATGCTAGACAGGTGGTTGTAGATGAGAAGGTTCTAACTGCCTTATTTCACAGAACACACATATTTTGAGAATCAGTGAAGGATAAAGTTAAAGATAATTGAAATTGACAAATGAAAGATAACAATTAAAGAGAAGCACTTTGTCAAGGAAAATCAAGAAATTCTAAGCTAACACCTGTATTTTTCCTTTCATAATATCACAATGAATGATCATGTCTCTTCACTTTGAGAAGTTTATTCTAAGATCCCAAACTTCGAGTTTACCAGTTCTAGTGAAAAATGCCACTCAAATCATTGGGGAACTCTGACTCTCTAGATCAGCAGGACCAAGAGTTATCCAATGTCTAAAGCTGAGAATATAAACAACCTGTTCAATATATTGGCCATCATAGGTACAATGACCTGAAAAGATAAAAGGGGACATAAAATCGATTTGACTGTAGATTCACAGGAGAAAAACTATTCACCTTCACAGGCTAGGTAAGTATTGGTTAGATAATAATACATGAAGGCATACAACATATAGTATTTATAATTTGCATGCAAGATAAGCTCATGTTGTTGTTAAAGGTATTTAATACTAGGCCCTAAATGTTAAATTTTACCTCGTATTTTCAAGTTTTATTTCAAAGTTTCATCTTAATTCGCAGGACTAAAATTGTTCTTTTTTATGTTTTTCATACATCTTTGGCTGTGGTACATTGTTTTTTAATAGATTGAAACCTCCAATTTAAACAACACACTTTCAGATCTTATTGAGTTGATTTAATTAGCTTGAGAGTGCTTCTCTATGGGAGGAGGAATGAATTCTTGACCTTTTGCATAGCAAACTATAGTAGAATCTGACAGTTTTCCAGCCCTGACGAACCACAGCCTATCATAAAATCCTACCATTTGTTTCTTAGTAGTGAAGTGTTTCCTCCATTTTTCTCCGTCAAAATTAGGCTACTATATGAAAAACAAATCATGGCCTGGATTTTTTAAAGGCCCAGAGTCCATGTCTTTAAGGAGTTAAAATGATTTTGTAAGTTTATCTTTAAAAAATAACATGCTATTGTCCCAAGAGCATTGATTTCCATGCATTAAAAGCTTATAGATAATAATGATTTATTGTGCCAACATGTCATGCAAGGATGTTTTTATGGTCAGAAACATTTATGGAGTGTCCTCGTGTGTTTTCTCATAACACAGTTCTATTGAAGATCTCATTCTGTTTTGACTCACAAAACTGTTCCCTAATGTGTGCTGCTCATAATACATGTTCATGCAAAGAAATTTCAGTCCATTTGTCTTGAATATGAAAACATTATTGAGGCTCTAAAGCAATTCTGTGTCAACTCAGAAATAGAAATTAATCAGAAAACTTTCAATAATACTACATACTGAGAAAAATTTGTAGAATAAAATCTAAACTTATGTACACAAAATGCTCTCCTTGATATCAAATAATCCAGAACATTTACATATATTCAATATATGTTCACAGTTTCATTTAATATGCACATATGTATACATGTAGAGACATATTTCCTTAACAGAGAAACAATCCTTATGAGCAAGCATTTCTAAGGTTCTGACCCTAAGAGTTTTGTGAGAACTTGAAATTAGTTTAGACTCTTGCCAGATCTACATAGTCATCCTCAAGGGTAAATGGCATGTGCTGTGTTTTCTAAGTGATGGAACCACCATGAACAACTATTTTTCTCTCCCTCCAGAGTCATCCCACTAGGTCAGAGTACTTCTTGTGCCCAAGAGGATGCCAGTAACTGTGGGAAAAGCATCTCAGATTCTGCAACTCACATTACCAAAAGCTGAGCTTTTCCATATCCTTAAGACATGGTAGTGCAGCAACAATCCTTGATTGGAGTCTGATTTCATAAAAAAAAAGTCAGGTCTGGCTGGGGTGTGGTGGCACACGCCTTTAATCCTAGCATTTAGGAGGCAGAGACAGGTGAATATCTGTGAGTTCCAGGCCAGTCTACAAAGCTACACAGAGAAATCCTGTCTCAAAAGACCAAAAGAAATATCAAACAAACAAAGTCAGCTTTATCCTCAGTTTTGTGATGCAAAAGTCTAGAGAAGATGAAACCTTAGTTAATTTCTGTGCGACGTTATCTACTGCTCTTCGCATGTACTTCCCATCCCGTTCCTTATTGTTATGTATGCTCTTTCTGCTGGGTCTTGTCAGTTTTACCAGGAGACAGATGAAGAGCTCTCATCATTGCTCTAAGAAGACTACAGGTTAAGATCAAAATTAGACTTCATTAGCTATGGAGTTTGCCTTCTTTCCATAGTCTTGGTAAGATGGACATATACAAATGTCATCACAATATGTTATGCTGAGTGAAGAGGCATTGTAATAAATTTAGACATTTCAATAACCTCATAGAGAATATATCATCTGATTTGTGTCTTAAAGCATGAATAGATCACATTTTTGTTCTAATTTCAGTGATACCAAAATTTTCCCTGTAGATAAAGAAAAAAATAGGGAATTGTAAGAAGTTAAACTAGAATTCCAGAGCCACAGGACCCCAGTTCCTGGAAATGAAAGGCATGGAATGACCTAGGAAGTTCTCACAAGCTACTCTAAGGTAGTAAACTTCCACCTGCAGTGGTCACAAGTCTTTGCTAGGCCCTCAGTTAAAGAATTATGCTACCTTGAAGCACAGAGTACCCTTTAATGCTGTTGCTGAAAATGAAGCTCACAGGATGTGTGAAGCTTGATGAGCATGGCTTCTGAGTGAGGTGTAAGGAGAGGCAAAAGAATACACTTATTATTCTGCCTAATTTTGAAATAGATCTCAAATCATCTATTTGCTATACAGCACACAGTTTTGTTTCTAGTCCTAATATTTTCCCCAAGATTTGATTTAATCATTTATTAAATAGTTTTCAATGAACTTGCAGCCTTGGGTGCTTTATCTGAGGAACTTGATAATATTTATAAATTCAAAGAATTTCTGTGCCCTCAATGAGACAATTGCTTCTACTTTTCTGGAGCTTCTATTACTCAAAATTTATTTTGAAATTTGGGCAACTGAAAAAAACATACACATTGAAATGTAGGTAATTTCATTTTTACCAAATAACTATCAAGGCAGTTTTTAGGTGAATCCTTCAAATTTGTCACCAACTAGATGGGTTCAGCTGAGATTTGTTTCTGTCTACATAATTGAGGAAAG